GCGTGTTCAGTTCTGCAACATGGCCGCCAGATTTTAAACGAACCGAGATCTTATATTCTATTTATCTGAAACATTAATGTTAACTTATTTTTGTAACGTTCCAAATGTACATTACGAATAATAATTATTATATTAACTAATGCAACAGTGACACGTGCCATATTTAGTGCATATTACGACCAATATAATTGCAAGCTACTACATGACGTATTCAGTTCTCCAATATGGCCGCCAGATTTTAAACGAGCCGAGCTCTTACATCCGTCTTATATCATTACTGCTTTTCTTACCTTCGTTACGTACCGTAACTTGATGTTTCTAATTGAAGGCAAGCATCTTCTGAAACAGAAATGGCTCGAAAGAAAATCGTTTCGTAAAAACCGATCGTAAGGCTTCAAGCTCCAAGAATATATCTATATAAATTCAAGCTGCACGGAGTTCGCGTAACTTCACTCGTACGCGTAGCATGTAAATTTAATCAACGACAACTATGTATGCACGTGAATATTCAAGAACAGGGTAACAAGCAAAATATGGAAGCAACACGGCGGATTGTAAAACGGTGGTAGACGGTTGGGGCGTGCGTTCGAGCGTCGGGGAAAATCGATCGCGTAATCACGAGCCCGAAAGACGGTTCCGTGGCTGTCCCGTCTACCAAATGACGTAATTAGGGATGAGTTACTCCCGACTGGACCAGCAGGCATGCCTATTTCCTGGTCGCTGATGTCATTGCCAGAGAAATTGTTACTCTTCCCCCTCTTCCTCCCTCCCTCCCTCCTTCCCCTACTCTCATTACGCCCGTAATGCGCGCACGTAACACCTATATCGTAATCAATTCTATGTGTGTGAGCTGGCGCGCGCGTGTAATTTTTTTTTTTACGTTCACGCTTCGCGAACGAAGCGTTAAATTGAACGGAAAAGGAAAGGCCGCGTTTTATACAGCGCATCGCCGATGGAAAAAAAAAGAAAAGAAAAGAAAAAGAGAAAGAAGAAATTCAGAAAGGTTTACCGATTATATCGATCGGCGTGTGCCGCGACCGACCAGCACGAACAGGGCTACGAAGTTTCGTTAATTTCGAACAAGCTGGCCCTACGTTCCCCTTGTTAGCGCTCGTTGACTGCTCGCGTGTAACGCTCGCACGAACCACGGCGAAAACCGCACGTGCCTCGATTCCCGATTTTTTTCACCCGTGTTTCACGGATCAACGTCTTCGAGTAACGTCGCGCATGTTTTTAATCTCACGCTGGCTCTCATTTCTGTTAATTTACCACTGCTCTCGGTCGGTTTTTGTTCGTTTCGATAATACCTGTAACATCAATTCCTTGCTCTTGTGATTTTCTTTCCAAATTTTTTAAATTAATTAATTAACTTATTATTTTAAACTTTAAATTATTTTAGTTTATTTAAATAATTATTATTTACTATTTTAAAGTTTAAATTATTATTTATTTATTTATATATAATTTTATTATATTTATAAAATTGTAATATAAAAGTATTTAAATATTATTTATTATTTTAAATTTTAAATTTTTAATTATTTATTTATTTGAATAATTATTATTTACTATTTTAAAGTTTAAATTATTATTTATTTATTTATATATAATTTTATTATATTTATAAAATTGTAATATAAAAGTATTTAAATATTATTTATTTTAAATTTTAAATTTTTAATTATTTATTTATTTAAATAATTGTTTATTTTAAATTTTAAATTTTAAATTATTTATTTATTTAAATAATTATTATTTATTATTTGAAATTTTAAATTTTAAATTATTATTTATTTATTTAAATGATTATTATTATTTTAAATTTAAAATTAATTTATGTATTACTTATTTATTGAAATTAATCCATACCTTTCGGCTTTGGATGACACTTCCAGTCTTCAGTATTCAGAATTTTAATTCTAAACCTATTATTAATGCTTCCACACATACTTAAGGTATATTAAAAATTTATTGCAGGCACAAGAATACTCCTAAAATTCATACTCTATAACAGCGAATACTAGATAAGCGTTAATTATATTATATTATAATTGCAACAGGATTACAATCGAAGTCCCCAATATTGACCACTATTATTCTACACTGTAAAGTGAAACACTATTATTCTACACTATAAAGAGCCAAACAATTTAATGAATTTGAATCGAGATTTTTCAATATGTCTAACATTACTATGCCCGTGTTTCAACCAAAAGAATTATCATTATATTTCCAAGATGGACATTTGAAGATCAATGTATATTAAAAAACAAATGTCAAAATGTGAAAGTCGATTTCTTTTTTTAAACGTCGCGTGACGTTTCTCGATCCTTCTCCGAACTCTCTCTCGACGCTTTTTTTCTGTCCAAAAAAAAAAAAGAAAGAAAAAAAGAAAAAAAAGTCGCTTGCATTGGGTGACTCGTCGATACCGGGTATTGCGTATTATTTGTTCCTCGACCGATACGTCGAGACAGCTTCGAACTTGTCCCGAATAACGTCCCAGACGGCCACGTCGCGTCGCGTCGCATCGCGTCGCGTCCTATCGTTGGGATGCTGCCAGCGGTTCTCAGCGGTACTCTGTCAGAGCGGCACTCGAGTGAAATTTATCGACATCAACCCCGGAAATTCGTGAGGGAGGGTGCGCGTACGCAACGCGCGTACGATGATCGAAATATATATATATATATATATATGCACTCGGTGTAATGTCGCGTCTGGTCGCGGAAGCGGCAGCGGTCTTCAACTGTCGGGGCTTTACGATCTCGGCCACGGGCAAAGCGGCTTATTTTAGAATTTAGACGGTCGCCAGTCTCTCTCTTTTTCTCTCTCGTAATGCTTTTAAACGCGTTAAGCGCGTATAATGTCCTGCCTGTAATTTGATTTTCACCAGCGACTCTCAGCTGCGGTAAATTGCCCCTCTGGCTAACATCCACCTCATCGAGGCTCGGTCGTCTCACTCACAGTCTCCAGTGGCTCCACACTGGACTAGATTAGATCCTAGTCGCTATGGAGTTTTCTCCACGTGTTTGTTCGACATGTTTGTGTGTCAAAGTAAATTCGATTCATCCGTACTTTGCGAAGCAAAATGTTTTCAGTTTCCACGTTGACACTGGAACAACTTCAGAACACGACCATTTTGCATCTTTCTGATTGATCATTATACAGGGTGTCAGAAGAAGAAAATGTTACACGAAGACGAAAATGTTACACGAAGTTTGCGAATTAACGCTTTATTCAGGAAATGTAAACAAAATAATGATAAATGGTTAGTCAATATTTTTTCAAGTCTCATTTCAAAATGATGCCCTTCTGCTCGGATAGACAAGCTTGACATCGATGAGAAACTGAATTTATTGGTCTGTGAAGTGTCTCAGTATCTTTATCGCATTTCAATAACTGCGTTTTTAATTCGCTGCCTAAGATCTTTGTATGAAGTCACTTTGGTCGAGTAAACCTTTTGTTTCAAAGTACCCCATAGGTAAAAGTCGAGCAACACTTGTCTATCAACACTCATTTCCAATTATGAAACAGCCTCGTGCAAAGGAAAGGAATGACTGAAATACTGAAACTCACAATCAGTAAAATACTAAGTATCAATTTTTGATTACATCTCTGTAATAAAGCGTTAATTCGCAAACTTCGTACAACATTCTTTTTTCTTCTTTTGGTCTCTAGAATAAGCTCTCACAGTTTGGCCGGAAAAATCCGAGACACCCTGTATATTCAATCACGCCGATTTAATTCACATCTCGCGACTCTTTTTCTCGTCGATAGAAACGTCTCGAGAATTCTTCAACGAAAAACTCTCGAAATTACAAATTTTTTACGAAGGAAAAGTTAACAAAGATGTTCGCGCGTATTTAAATAATAAATAATTAAATTATAAAATTTTTTCAATAATTAATTAATGTTAAAATTATGATTTTAAAAATATTTTTATTATATAATATAAATAAATTTATAGTTTATCCCATAAATTTTTTATATAAAAAAATGAATAAAATAATAATATTTTATTAATTTATTTTTATATATAAATTAAATTCATTTAAAGAGAAAACTAGATGTTAATAAATACGACAAACATTTAACACGAGGGAGGAGGCGAGCGTCGAGAGTTTCGCCCTCCCCAGCAATTGATGAATGAAGAAAACGCCAGCGATCTCCTAGCGTCGGATTTTCATCCGTCCTTGTTGTCCACCGAATTGCTGAACATCCGAGAAATCTAATTTAGGATTTTCACGAGCCGATATGCTTTTCCTACCGAGAAGTAGTTAGCGAAACGTTGCTATAACGGTATCGCGTTCGGTTTCCAAACACGTGCTGCACGCTGGTACAAAATTTATGGTTCAGTTGTTGGTAGTCCCAGCGGTGAAACATGGTTAGTGCCTGGGATTTATATCTACAGGCTTTGCACTCCAAGTTAACCCTTTTGTATTTATATTTTTGCACATCAAGTTCATCCATTTTTGACTCGAAAGTGAAATAATACACTTTATCATTTTCGTCGTTATACTCTTCATTGAAGAAGTTCTTTTCAAAAATCAAATTCCACGCAAGATATATTTTGGCTGATCCTTGAAACCGTGTACATTTAGTGGATCCATTATTAATCGTTCAGATGATCACAATTGTTATATTAATATATGTATAAAACTAGCCCTCACATGACTCTATGTATGTATACATGAATACTTTCCGCGTAATTAAATAAGTATTTCATGTTAATTTTCATGTCATTTTGCGTTACTTTTACACTTGCAGTAAAATTTTTCTTTCAAAATAGTAACGTCACGTCGGATTTTATTTTTGTTACAACGGCTTGGGGGAAACAAATTGTTTATCTGTGGAAAAGTGACTTTGATTAGAATCGAATTTTATACTGCTCATCATTCCCTTGTGTTGTCAGAAAATTTTGAGTTTGTGTTATCATTTGAAAGATTCGACACGAGAAGCTTTATCGTAGTTATAGTCTTACAGTCTTCCGCGTTCCTTTGGGCCAAGATTTTTTTTTTTTTTTTTCATACGATACGAAGTCGAGTCCAGACAAGTAAAGAATGTCGGAACGTTTAGTTTCGAGTCGCCTTCGTGTGCCTCTGACAATCTCGTTTTTCCTTTATCGCAACGTGTCAACGTTGGTGCTTTTCGAAGAGCATCGGTTGTATTGTATTTCGAATACGTCTCAAGCAATGTTCGTGACAGGGTTTGACACGGTCGTTTTGGCGCCTGGAGGTTCTCAGAACGTGTTGGAATCTTTCGCTATCCCTTATTTTCTCATTTACAATCTGTCACTGCGTCAATAATTTCGATATCCGTTCCGACCGATTTCCCAAATATTTCTGACACTTTCTCCCCCCCGATTTTAGTCATTTTCCCGAAAATTTTGCAATCGCTTTCCTATTATTTACTTAAGCGATCAAATTTAAAAGAGAACGAATTTCGGAACTCCATACATTTCGAGGTATTTTAATTTCTTGCTACCTTGAATTTCGTTGCTATCTGGAAACAAATTATTTATTCAAACGATCAAATTTAAAAGAGAACGAATTTTGGAATTCCATGCATTTCGAGGTATTTTAATTTCTTGCTACCTTGAATTTCGTTGCTATCTGGAAACAAATTATTTACTCAAACGATCAAATTGCTACGTTTACCAAAAGGGAATTTAATTTAATTTGGAACACGACGTCAGAGAAATTAGAGCAGAACCGGGGCTAACTGGCGGTGCGCGAGCCCCAGCGCTACCCCCTCCACTGCTGATTTTCCTACTAAGCGTCGATGTAGTAGAGGGGGTAGCGCTAGCGATCAGGAAAGTAGGGGCCGCCAATTAGCCTGCTCTGTCGTAGAGTACATAATACGATAGCTCTTCTAGTCGTGTTTGCTCTGAATCTCTCGCTACTTCGAGTTTCGTTGCTATCGTTTTCGTTGCTTCGAGTTTCGAAACGATCTTACTGAATTTACTAAAAGAGAATTTCACGAAAATTTGGTGCACAACGTTTCAAAGAAATCGTAGAGTAACACGACAGCTATTTTGAATTCGATTGCTATTGGAACAGTGCTCTCACGAGTGCCGCACTTTTTGGATTCCTAGTTTGCTTATCCCCACTCTTTCCTTTGACGCAAATTTGCGAAATACATCAGACCTCTCTCGAGCGGTTCATCTTACGATGAAATTTACTGAAAGAGAATTTAACGAATTCGAAGCACAGACATTTCAAAGAGCTCGCGGAAGTAGAACACGATGCGCCGCGTGCGCTGCCACAGACTGGGAAATTTTGTTTTCGTTGAAGAGAGCGCGCGGAGGATTTCATTGTTTAAAACGCGAATTGTTTCGCGGGTCCGCGGGGATTCGCCATGGGCCACGCGAAACGCGATAAAGCATTTTCCGCGGGACGCATTCACGGCCGGTTCGAATTAGATTTAATTACCGGCGCCGGTTGTTTCATTAGGGCAAATAACGACGAGCCGCTGCCACGCTCGAGCTGATTTCCACAGCGGAATGCGTTATTCTATCCCGCGAATTTTCCACGGGCAAACACGTGACCCGTTTGCACAGTAAATTACACAAAAGTTTTCTCGTGTTCGCGTCATCGGAAACCGCGTTTCATTACCTTCGCCGCGCTCGGCATCATCCCCAGCGTTCGACACGATTCTCTGCCACCGTTGATACTATTTCCGCTATTCGTTCAAACTCCGCCGACTTCAAACTTTTTTTTTTTTTTTGTTTCTCTTTCTCTCTCTCTCTCTCTCCCTCAGAGGTATCGTCGCTCGTGCACAGCTCTCGTTCCTTTCTCGTAAACCATCTGAAAGTTACGTGAGAAATTTCCGCGGGAATTTTCCGGATTCAAGTGCAATCTCCCGCAACGACAGATCTCGCCAGTACAGAAAGTATTTATTTTACTTCCGTGTTTTAAAATCCACTAACCCAGATTTCCAAAATACGGCGAAGCGTATATTCCACGCGTATATCGATTGCCGAAAACTAATATCTCTCTCTCTCTCTCTCTCAATTTTTCGGACGCGTTCCTCGATACGTAGTATTCCTCGCAAGAAAAGCAACAGTAAACATAATCCCTCGCACCCTGTTCTTGCCAGGTGTCAGCGATTCTCTTGCACGAGCGGAGGAGTCGGTCCTCTCGGTGCCGAAGAGGAGCTTCGCGGTTGCCTCGATATCGCGTAGCTTCCTCCTCGAGGGATAATTTCGCGTGTGCACCACTGTCTTGCTTACTCGGGGCAAATAGGTATGCAGTTTATTCTGAGACTGCCGGGGTGAACGGCCAGGTTCCTCGCGCGCAAGTTGCAGCCGCCTCTGCGCCCGTTCGCGAAAGCTCAAATCAAATATCGCCAGAGACGAGCGTAACGTAGGTGGGTGGGCGTCGATCCCCAATGCGATTTCTCGACCGCCTCGTAATAACACGACAGATTGTTTGGCTACCAAGATTTGGAAGATTCGTCGCGAGGCAACGCAATCACGGATTGTCCCAGCCGGTTTGGATCGCTTTCCCTCTCGGATCCCAATGGCATTTCAATCAATCGGCAGTCGATCGTTGGTATCGGATAGCCCGGTGTGTTTCGCCGGTTTTCGGGAAACGAAAGAGCTCCAGAGTCGGCCGCCCTAAGCGTCCGCCACTCTGGATATCTGCCTCGTCTAGCCGAAAGTTATTTAAAGCCGACGCTGGTCATCTTCGAGTCTCTAGAATTCGATTAGTCCGAACCCTGGTATGCCGCAGTTCTCGAGTGTACCGAGCGGACGTTTTGGAACGTTCGGACGTTTTCACGCTTCGAATTCGACGCATGTTTCGCGAGGAATGTTTCGACCGTCGAATGTTGATCAATAAAAAATAAAATCAACGTGATGATACGTACTAAATAAATGAAATACAAATGATCATATAAATATATGAT